TGTTTGGTCACTGGTCGGTCTTGGGCTTGTATAGGCACCTACCCAGGTGTCATGAATAACTGAGGCCTCACCTCACCTTCTTGAGCCTGCTGGTTGCTCACGGCTATTGCACGTCTGACTGTACACATGGGGAAGGGAGCGGAGGAATTGTCCTACGGTCGCAGGTGATTCACAGTCCACTAATGGGCACCAATTGGGTTGTGAGTCCATTGAGTTCATCACTACGCTGAGGTTGTGAGCTCTTCACTACGCTGAGGTTGTGAGCTCTTCACTACGCTGAGGTTGTGAGCTCTTCACCACTCCATTAGGCCTAGCTGCCTTCATCCTGGTTGTCTTCGGTTGTCTTCTCCTCCGTTATGCCGGGTTAGTGTCTCAGGTTAAGCAGCTGGTCTCTGGAGCAACAAGAGGGCCAACGTGCCTTCTCTGGTATTATCTGACCTAGGTTTGCCCAACACTTTGGCTGCTTTTAGTCGGTCTTCTGACCCCATCTCTGAGGAGCTGGCACTCAGCAGCCATTACCCCCAAGCTGAGACTTTCTTGTCACTAATTGACACAGTGCACGCTACCCTGAAGCTGGAGGACCAGCTGGATGCAACCACCAGCTCAATGTCAGGTCTTGGCCTTTACAAGCCTTCCTAGTCTGCAGGAACTTTTACACACCATCTTTACTTTGGTATGTTTTTATACGGGGTATAGCAGCACCTACCTATCCAGAACTATCTGCTGTTTGCCTTAGGGCAGGGGTGTCAAACTGGTTGCCCTCCAGCTGTTGCGAAACTACAAGTCCCATCATGCCTTTGGGAGTCATACTTGTAACTGTCAGCCTTGCAGTGCCTCATGGGACTTGCAGTTTGGAAACATCTGGAGAGCCACCGGTTTGACACCCCTGCCTTAGGGCCACTTCAGTTCATAGCCCTCCCATCCCTTTCCCCTCCTGCTCACCAAGGTGTTAGCCATGGCTAACCTTGCATCCATCTACGGGCCCAAGGAGCGCCTTGGCGGTTTCCGGCAGATAGAGGGGAGAGCGGACCAACGTTCTCCCCTTCTTTTTGTGACCCGGAAGGCGACGCGTGTGAGGTCACTTCCAGCTCACCGCTGTCACTTTTCTTGGCTAGCACGTCTGAGACGCAATGCGGTCTGCAGGGTCTGTCAAGGCGCCTACGCGTGAAAACGTCGATTGCGATACACGTCACTGCGTGAGCCGGCGTGAGAGCGATAATTCTATCACCAGACCTCCTCCGTGATGCTAAACTGATGGCCTACAGGGGGCTTTTGAAGCGTCGCCAAATGAAAATGTAGGGTACTGAAGTTCATAGGCGTGCACAAATCTAAGGTTTGGCATGTTGGGTGTCTATTTACTCGGTGAGAGACCATCATTTTTATATGTTTGCAAAAATTTGGGTAATTTATTGTGTTTGTTTACTGTGCTTTACAAAAAGTTTGTGTTTCCTAGACCTTGGCGGTCATATCGTGTGACATAAAAAAAAAAAATTGGATCCACCGCTGTTTTATTCTCTAGGGCACGGGTGTCAAACCGGCGGTCTTCCAGCTGTTGCCAAACTACAAATCCCATGAGGCATTGCAAGATTGACCGTTACAAGCATGACTCCCAAAGGCAGAGGCATGATGGGACTTGTAGATTTGCAACAGCTGGAGGGCCACCAGTTTGACACCCCTGGTCTATCACATCCAATCCCAATAAAACACATTGATGGTTCTGGTGGTCACATGACAACACGGGGGACATTCCAAGGGGTGTGAAGACTTCTTCAAGGCACTGTAGGTAATTAGAAGTCCTCTCAGGTTTGGAAACACACCTCGGTATTTTCCTGGTGTCACCAGGACAGGCAATAGAGGGGGGGGGGGTGTCTGCTTTCAGAAAATATATCACGGTTTGGGGAGTTTTGCGTAGTCTTTAGGCCTAAAATTATTTTTGAAACACAAGCAAAAAATGCCAAAACGGCTCTGGCAGCGAAAGGGTTCATGCTGACCTCAGATACCCCTCTGTGGACTCAGGGCTTTATCTGAATGCGGTCTCTGATCCTACACCGCCCTCTGTGGGCTGCCCAGTGCTACTGCAGTTGGTACCGCTTGGTCCCTCACAATCCTCAAGTCCTGGTAGCTGCTCTTCACCTGATAAGATTGGTCATTTCAGCCCACCAATTCTTCCATCAGATCTTTGTGGATGAAAGTTCCTCAATTCATGAAATGTTGTTGGGGGGGGGGATCTTCATCTGAATTTGTGAAAACGCCCAAATTTTTTCCAGGCCAGTTCCAAAAGTCACCGCGGATGGCCAACGCAATGCAATTATACTGAGGCCGTCCCATACAGCATTTATTGCCGATGGACACGTATAGACAAAACCAACCCCAACCAATCCCAAGGCAGGAAAGGGGAAATCTCAAGCGGTGCTACAGTCCTAGATTGCCCACCAGGACCAGACACGTCACACACAAAAACGAAATCGTTCCATTGTGTCCGGGACAGAGACCTGCAATTAGAATGATAGATGTTGTAGCTCGGCTGTATGTAGGAGACGACTTTATGGATGACTAGGAGTAGAGCGAATTCACTTTGCAAGGCAATGAAGTTACACGGCACTGACTTCCAACATCCAATCACGTACAAGCGAAAATCCTGTTTTTTCTTTTTCCTGGCATGTGATTGGGTGTTGTTCGCAAAGTGAATTTTCTGCACATTCACTAAGCTGAGGTAAAAGTGGACATGCGGTTTTCTTTTCGTAGATGACTCGCAATGTCTCCTTGTCTGTATGGGGATTGGTTGGTGAAGGCTTTTGTGGGGTGATATATAGGAGAGAAAATGTTATGTATACTACAAGGGTAAAAGGTACCTGAATCCCACTCCCAATCATGGGGTTCAAGTGCCTCCAATGAAGGGTCCCGGTAATCCTCCATCATACAAAGACATTCTAGACCTCAACCCTACTGTACACCATTGGGATGAGCTGGAATTCGGTCTTCCCATCCAGCATCAGTCCTGGCCCTGGTCAAAGAACTCTACCAATAATGGTAATAGGATCATCTCACTTCTAATGGACATTCTTTATGGCCCAAAGTATGTAGAAACCCCTTCAAATGATGGAGTTCAGGTGTCTCCAGTGAAGGGTCCTGGTAATCCTCCATCATACAAAGACATTGTAGACCTCAACCCTACTGAACACCATTGGGATGAGCTGGAATGCTGACAGTGATCCAGGCTTCCCATCCAACATCAGTCCTGGCCCTGGAAGTTCACGATCAAAGAACTCTACCAATAATGGTAATAGGATCATCTCACTTCTAATGGACACACTTTATGGCCCAACGTATGTAGAAACCCCTTCAAATGATGGAGTTCAGGTGTCTCCAGTAAAGGGTCCTGGTAATCCTCACTCAACAGACATTGTAGACCTCAACCCTACTGAACACCATTGGGATGAGCTGGAATGCTGACAGTGATCCAGGGCTTCCCATCCAACATCAGTCCTGGCCCTGGAAGTTCACGATCAAAGAACTCTACCAATAATGGTAATAGGATCATCTCACTTCTAATGGACACACTTTATGGCCCAAAGGATGTAGAAACCCCTTCAAATGATGGAGTTCAGGTGTCTCCAGTGAAGGGTCCCGGTAATCCTCCATCATACAAAGACATTGTAGACCTCAACCCTACTGAACACCATTGGGATGAGCTGGAATGCTGACAGTGATCCAGGGCTTCCCATCCAACATCAGTCCTGGCCCTGGAAGTTCATGATCAAAGAACTCTACCAATAATGGTAATAGGATCATCTCACTTCTAATGGACACACTTTATGGCCCAAAGTATGTAGAAACCCCTTCAAATGATGGAGTTCAGGTGTCTCCAGTGAAGGGTCCCGGTAATCCTCCATCATCCAAAGACACTGGAGACAATTGTGCTCTTCCAACCTTGTGGAAAGAATTTGGTGAATACCCTTTTCTGTTCCCCCATGACTGTCCCCTGTGTACAAAGCCAGCTCCATAAAGACATAGATAACCAGTTTGGTGTGGAGGAACTGGAGTGTAATGTACAGAGCCCTGACTTCAACTTGCTGAGTACATTTGGGACGAATTGGAACACCAATGGTGAACCAGGTCTTCTCATCCAGCATCAGTACCTGACCTCACTAATGAGTGCAAAAACCCCATAAACACCCTTCAAAATCTTGTGGAAAGCCTTCCCAGAAGATGGAGGGATGTTATAGCCACTAAGAAGGCACTGTCATATTAGTAACCACGAGGTGAGGAAAAATAAAAACCCATATTAATGGACATGAGTGGGGTAACAACTCCATATTAATGGGCGTGGTTTAGGACTAGGATGTCCAGCAAGCTCATCTAGGTGTGATGTTCAGGTGTCCACAAACCTTTGGCTATATATTGCATGTGGTAATCAGTAACTTGATAATAAACATTTAGGGAAGGGACACAAACTACTGGAGGAAACTCTGGCCATTGACCCAGCTGGTGGATCATTCTGGCATTGCACCTTGAACTGATAAAACTGGCCTTTGGATGATAAAGCATCATTAAAGAAAACCAATCACAGGAAGTTTGAGGTGAAGGAACACAACCAAAGCCATTTTCACCGTCCCGTATTCCACCCTGTGTACCGGCCCAGAAACCTTGGCATACCGGGAGGAATAATGGAACGCAGTTCAGAGGAACCTCAGGAGGGTAATTACTTATTGTTGACACCTTTCACGATAGAGGCCTATCAACGGTGATCATGGATACCCCCACCATCATCCTGCCCCTTTAGAGTCACTACCCTTCATGGAATGGTCACCCCAGTGAGTGGCAGACACAAAAAGCTGGTTGAGGAAAATTTATTGATTATTTGGTCTCGTGATCCGTACAGAGATGTCTGCAGAGACTTGGAGTAGAGAGCTGGATAAGAAGGGGTACAGCTTATGATGAAAGGGTTCAGGGGGCCCCTCATATTTAGGAGGAGGGGGCAGAGGTGGGTTTTTTCACCCTCAGGATAAAGGAATGGGCTTGTCTTTGGACATCAGTTTTGGTCCACTGAAGGTCAAGATGCCATCAGAAGAAAGGGAGGAGCTGACAGAGGATTTGTCCAGGTTGGGGGGGAGGTGGTAGCGGCGGTTGAACTCCCGGGAAACAGAGCCATGGTCATCCTGGTGGAGAAAGCGAGAGAAGGTCAGTATGTGAACCCAGGAGACATCATCTTATTAGGAACACATATAACAGGCCACCTTGATGGCTCCCATGGTTAAAGGAAAGGCCGTAAATGCTAGTTACAGTCCAATTGTACAATTTTCTTTAGACCTAACTGTAGTGCGGGGTCCTGTCTAGTTGGATACGCATTGAAAGGATTGTTTAGGTGGGACCTCAAAACATAATATTGTTGTATTCCTAAAATACAGATAAATATAATCCCCTTCTCCTGTCCCTCACACCAAACCACCACATACAGTCTGTACCATGGTAGTATTTGGCATATCTTGGTGTAGGACCTCTGCGACATCTTTAACACTTTGAGGAACCTGAGTCATCGTATGAAATTTCCGCATGTACCTTGAGGTCTTTCACAAGTAGCTGCTGCCCTCCCTCATCCCGATCCTTCTAGAATCTACCATAATATACTGTAGATGATGGTCTGTAGAAGACTTCAGTCCAGAACACTTGCATGTAGGAAAGAAACATCTGGCTATTCCCACCGGGCGCACACACATTATGAAGATAGTTTGTTGCTCTGTATCTGCTACAACCTTGATTTCTGACCTGTGATGATGTCACCTAACTTATTCCAACACCCACCTGCCTCTCGCTGTGTTTTCCATGGATTTCCACAAAGTCATCCTTCATCTTCACAGTCAGATCATCGGGGGAGAAATGCTTCACATCCAAGTTAATGACAAAACGATCAGAATCTGAACGTATCTATGAGGAGGAAGTGTGGTCAGTACGTAAAGCTTTGTAAATGAGAACAATATATTAAACTTTAGCACCAGGTACCCAGAGACTCATGACCACACAAAAGAAGATAGCAGGCCCCCAGCAGGCCAAAGGCCAGATCATCAGCTAGAAAATAGCCACAGAAAATGGGAGTCAGGAGGCGTCCAGCTACTGAAAGCTCCTCTACTAGGCCGATACATAAAGTCCCCTTGACACACTTGACCTCTCAAATGTCTTTGAAGAACATAAGTTTGTTCTAATAGTGGATGCAATTCTTCCTGGTACAGGACGATCCCACTGACCACTGGCTGTGGACTATAGTATGAGTGACACTCTCAGATCCTTCTAACCACACCATGGGGACCTTCATACAGTATGTGTAACTCACCCTACAGAGCCTTTTGACCATAGGATAAGGACTATTGTATGAAAGACTCTCCCAGACACCTTTAACCACAGATCACAACCATTATACGGGTTACCCTCCAGACCCCTCTAACCACAGGATGTAGAGTTTTGTATGGAAGGATTTCTGTAGGATTCAGACCATGGTATGAGTTGATCTCTCATACCCTTCTGAACAGAAGATGGAGACCATTGTACAAGTCACTCTCCCATACCTCACTGTCCACAGGATGGAAGCCATTATATAATTAACTTTCCCAGGCCCCTGAGACTGTAAGATGGAGACCACTGTACGAGTGAATTCCCAGACTGCTCTAACCACAGGAAGAGGAGCATTGTGACTCTCTCAGATCCCTCTGACCACAGGATGGAGACCTTCATATATGTAACTCACCCATAGGATCAGGACTATTGTATGAGTGACTCTCCCAGACCCATTTGACTACAGATCAAGACCATTATATGGGTTACCCTGCCAGACCCCTCTGACCGCAGGGTGAAGACCCTTATATGGGTGAGACGACCTTCACTGCAGGGTGAAGACCCTTATATGGGTGAGCCCACCCCCATCAGACCCACCCTGACTGCAGGGTGAAGACCCTTATATGGTTGAGGCAACTTCATCACACCCCTCTGTCTGCAGGGTGAAGACCCTTATATGGGTGAGCCCACCTCCATCAGACCCCCCTGACTGCAGGGTGACGACCCTTATATAGTTGAGCCGACCTTCACTGCAGGGTGAAGACCCTTATATGGGTGAGCCTATCCCCAGCAGACCCACCCTGACTGCAGGGTGAAGACCCTTATATGGTTGAGGCAACTTCATCACACCCCTCTGTCTGCAGGGTGAAGACCCTTATATGGGTGAGCCCACCTCCATCAGACCCCCCTGACTGCAGGGTGAAGACCCTTATATAGTTGAGCCGACCTTCACTGCAGGGTGAAGACCCTTATATGGGTGAGCCCATCCCCAGCAGACCCTCCTGACTGCAGGGTGAAGACCCTCATATGGTTGAGCCTACCTTCATCACACCCCTCTGTCTGCAGTGTGAAGACCCTACTATGGGTGAGCCCACCCCCATCAGACCCCCCTGACCGCAGGGTGAAGACCCTTATATGGGTGAGCCCACCCCCATCAGACCCCCCTGACCGCAGGGTGAAGACCCTTATATGGGTGAGCCCACCCCCATCAGACCCCCCTGACTGCAGGGTGAAGACCCTTATATGGTTGAGCCGACCTTCACTGCAGGTGTGAAGAGCCTTATATGGGTGAGCCCACCCCATCAGACCCCCCTGACTGCAGGGTGAAGACCCTTATATGGGTGAGTCCACCCCCATCAGACCCTTCAGACTGCAGGATGGAAATACTTGTATGAGTGACCTTCCAAGGCCATTCTACAGTAGGATGGAGACTCTCGAAAACCACTCTTACATGGTGGAGACCATTGTATGACTGACTTTCCAGACTACTCTGACCACAAGATGGATTCTGTTGTATAAGTGACTCTCCCAGACCCCTGTGTCCTCAGGGTGGAGACCAATATGTAAGAAGCTCTCCCAGACAACAGTACAAAGACAACTGTATAAGTGAATCTCCCAGATCCCTCTGACCACAGATTTGGACTATTTTATGGGTGACCTTCCCAGATCCCTCTGACAGCAGGATGGAGATACTTCTATAGGTGACCCTCCCAGGTCTTCTAACTGCAGGATAGGAACCACTGTATGACTGATTCTCCTAGACTCCTTTAACTGCACTGCGGTGACCCTTGTATGAGGGACTCTCCCATATCCATATAACTACGGGGTGAAGACCATTGTATGAGTGATTTTTCCGCACCCTTTGGACTGCAGAATGGAGACTTTGTATGAGTTACCCTCCAAGACCCTTCCAACTACGGGGTGAAGACCATTGTATGAGTGACTTTTCCACACCCTTTGGACTGCAGGATGGAGACTTTGTATGAATTACCCTCCAAGACCCTTCCAACTACGGGGTGAAGACCATTGTATGAGTGACTTTTCCACACCCTTTGGACTGCAGGATGGAGACTTTGTATGAGTTACCCTCCAAGACCCTTCCAACTACGGGGTGAAGACCATTCTATGAGTGACTTTTCCACACCCTTTGGACTGCAGGATGGAGACTTTGTATGAGTTACCCTCCAAGACCCTTCCAACTACGGGGTGAAGACCATTGTATGAGTGACTTTTCCACACCCTTTGGACTGCAGGATGGAGACTTTGTATGAGTTACCCTCCAAGACCCTTCCAACTGTGGGATGTAAACCATTGTATGCAGGATAAAGACCTTTGTATCAGTGATTTTTCATACCCTTCTGACTGCAGACCATTACCTGAGTGACTCTCCCACACCCTTTGGATCACAGAATGGAGACCCTTGTATGAGTGACCCTGGATGCTCCTCACCTCAGAAATGCCGGAGTCCTGGAGTCCTCGGAGTAGGCTTTGCTTGTAGTAGGGGCTGATGGTGGAAGACAGGAAAGGAAATAGGTCGTAGTCAAACATTCCTTCTCCAAAGACCTGATTGAAGAGTCGGTTGGAGTACAAGGGCCCCAGAGCACGATGGTACGGCGACCGTTGGATGGTGACCTCCATGATGAAAGGTGAAGACACACGCAGATCTGTAAGCTGAACTGGTCACCCTTCCTTTTTTTATACCCCAGAGGGGACGAAGATTATGTAATATTGAATAAATAAGGGTGTGTAATAAAAAGGGAGTGGAACACGGAGCCGGGGCCAAGGCGGGGGCGGGGTTACATTCTTTACCTTACCTCACCCTATGTACTTCCAACTGTCAGCACGTGTCCCACACTGATCCACCGCTCAGGAACATTCCCTCCAGGGGCTCTTGGAAGACATGCTGTCCATGTCCATCCCCAGATCCCAGGAAACACCGATCAGATTTCAAGGATACGTCTTCCATAGTTCCATAGTTAGTCTGGCTGAAAAAAGAGAAAAGTCCATCCAGTTCAACCATTAAAGAAAAGATATAACCTCCACCCACAGTGGATCCAGAGGAAGGCAAAACCCAGCAAAGCACGATCCAATCTCCTCCTGCAGGGGATACATTCCTTCCTGATCCCCGATAGGCAGACACTCCCTGGACAAACTCCACCCAAAATGCTAGTATCCAGTAGACTTGGACGGACGTGACCTGTCATCTCCCCTGAAGAACATCTAAACCCAAGAATAAAAATGTCATAATTTCAACATGGAAGAAAAATATACAGGTATTTGTAATACAACAATGTTGGCCATATTCAATATATATATATGTACACTGTATGATGAAATGCGGGGTCCGGGGAGAGCGGATACAGTGAACGCGGGGTCCGGGGAGAGCGGATATAGTGAATGCGGGGTCCGGGGGAGAGCGGATATAGTGAACGTGGGGTCCGGGGAGAGCGGATATAGTGAATGCGGGGTCCGGGGAGAGCGGATATAGGGAATGCGGGGTCCGGGGAGAGCGGATATAGTGAATTCGGGGTCCGGGGAGAGCGGATATAGTGAATGCGGGGTCCGGGGAGAGCGGATATAGGAATGCGGGGTCCGGGGAGAGCGGATATAGTGAATGCGGGGTCCGGGGAGAGCGGATATAGTGAATGCGGGGTCCGGGGAGAGCGGATATAGTGAATGCGGGGTCCGGGGAGAGCGGATATAGGGAATGCGGGGTCCGGGGAGAGCGGATATAGTGAATGCGGGGTCCGGGGAGAGCGGATATAGGGAATGCGGGGTCCGGGGAGAGCGGATATAGTAAACGCGGGGTCCGGGGGAGAGCGGATATAGTGAATGCGGGGTCCGGGGAGAGCGGATATAGTGAATGCGGGGTCCGGGGAGCGGATACAGTGAATGCGGGGTCCGGGGAGAGCGGATATAGTGAATGCGGGGTCCGGGGAGAGCGGATATAGTGAATGCGGGGTCCGGGGAGAGCGGATATAGTGAATGCGGGGTCCGGGGAGAGCGGATATAGTGAATGCGGGGTCCGGGAGAGCGGATGTAGTGAATGCGGGGGTCCGGGGAGAGCGGATATAGTGAATGCGGGGTCCGGGGAGAGCAGACATAGTGAATGCGGGGTCCGGGGAGAGCGGATATAGTGAATGCGGGGTCCGGGGGAGAGCGGATATAGTGAATGCGGGGTCCGGGGAGAGCGGATATAGTGAATGCGGGGTCCGGGGAGAGCGGATATAGTGAATGCGGGGTCCGGGGAGAGCAGGACATAGTGAATGCGGGGTCCGGGGAGAGCGGATATAGTGAATGTGGGGTCCGGGGAGAGCGGATATAGGGAATGCGGGGTCCGGGGAGAGCGGATATAGTGAATGCGGGGTCCGGGGAGAGCGGATATAGGGAATGCGGGGTCCGGGGAGAGCGGATATAGTGAATGCGGGGTCCGGGGAGAGCGGATATAGTGAATGCGGGGGTCTGGGGGAGCGGATATAGTGAATGCGGGGCCGGGGGAGAGCGGATATAGTGAATGCGGGGTCCGGGGAGAGCGGATATAGTGAATGCGGGGCCCGGGGAGAGCGGATATAGTGAATGCGGGGTCCGGGGAGAGTGGATATAGTGAATGCGGGGTCCGGGGAGAGCGGATATAGTGAATGCGCGGGGTCTGGGGGGAGCGGATATAGTGAATGCGGGGCCCGGGGAGAGCGGATATAGTGAATGCGGGGTCCGGGGAGAGCGGATATAGTGAATGCGGGGCCCGGGGAGAGCGGATATAGTGAATGCGGGGTCCGGGGAGAGTGGATATAGTGAATGCGGGGTCCGGGGAGAGCGGATATAGTGAATGCGGGGTCCGGGGAGAGCAGACATAGTGAATGCGGGGTCCGGGGAGAGCGGATATAGTGAATGCGGGGTCCGGGGAGAGCGGATATAGGGAATGCGGGGTCCGGGGAGAGCGGATATAGTGAATGCGGGGTCCGGGAGAGCGGATATAGTGAATGCGGGGTCCGGGGAGAGCGGATATAGTGAATGCGGGGTCCGGGGAGAGCGGATATAGTGAATGCGGGGTCTGGGGAGAGCGGATATAGTGAATGAGGGGGTCCGGGGAGAGCGGATATAGTGAATGCGGGGTCCGGGGAGAGCGGATATAGTGAATGCGGGGTCCGGGGAGAGCGGATATAGTGAATGCGGGGTCCGGGGAGAGCGGATATAGTGAATGCGGGGTCCGGGGAGAGCGGATATAGTGAATGCGGGGTCCGGGGAGAGTGGATATAGTGAATGCGGGGTCCGGGGAGAGTGGATATAGTGAATGCGGGGTCCGGGGAGAGCGGATATAGTGAATGCGGGGTCCGGGGAGAGCGGACATAGTGAATGCGGGGTCCGGGGAGAGCGGATATAGTGAATGCGGGGTCCGGGGAGAGCGGATATAGGGAATGCGGGGTCCGGGGAGAGCGGATATAGTGAATGCGGGGTCCGGGGAGAGCGGATATAGTGAATGCGGGGTCCGGGGAGAGCGGATATAGTGAATGCGGGGCCCGGGGAGAGCGGATATAGTGAATGCGGGGTCCGGGGAGAGCGGATATAGTGAATGTAAGGTCCGGGGGGAGAGCGGATATAGTGAATGCGGGGGTCCGGGGAGAGTGGATATAGTGAATGCGGGGTCCGGGGAGAGCGGATATATGGAATGCGGGGTCCGGGGAGAGCGGATATAGTGAATGCGGGGTCCGGGGAGAGCGGATATAGTAAAAACGCGGGGTCCGGGGAGAGCGGATATAGTGAATGCGGGGTCCGGGGAGAGCGGATATAGTGAATGCGGGGTCCGGGGGAGCGGATACAGTGAATGCGGGGTCCGGGGAGAGCGGATATAGTGAATGCGGGGTCCGGGGAGAGCGGATATAGTGAATGCGGGGTCCGGGGAGAGCGGATATAGTGAATGCGGGGTCCGGGGAGAGCGGATATAGTGAATGCGGGGTCCGGGGAGAGCGGATGTAGTGAATGCGAGGTCCGGGGAGAGCGGATATAGTGAATGCGGGGTCCGGGGAGAGCGGATATAGTGAATGCGGGGTCCGGGGAGAGCGGATACAGTGAATGCGGGGTCCGGGGAGAGTGGATATAGTGAAATGCGGGGTCCGGGGAGAGCGGATGTAGTGAATGCGGGGTCCGGGGAGAGCGGATATAGTGAATGCGGGGTCCGGGGAGATAGTGGGATATAGTGAATGCGGGGTCCGGGGAGAGCGGATATAGTGAATGTGGGGTCCGGGGAGAGCAGACATAGTGAATGCGGGGTCCGGGGAGAGCGGATATAGTGAATGCGGGGTCCGGGGAGAGCGGATATAGGGAATGCGGGGTCCGGGGAGAGCGGATATAGTGAATGCGGGGTCCGGGGAGAGCGGATATAGTGAATGCGGGGTCCGGGGGAGAGCGGATATAGTGAATGCGGGGTCCGGGGAGAGTGGATATAGTGAATGCGGGGTCTGGGGAGAGCGGATATAGTGAATGAGGGGTCCGGGGAGAGCGGATATAGTGAATGCGGGGTCCGGGGGAGAGCGGATATAGTGAATGCGGGGTCCGGGGAGAGCGGATATAGTGAATGCGGGGTCCGGGGAGAGCGGATATAGTGAATGCGGGGTCCGGGGAGAGCGGATATAGTGAATGCGGGGTCCGGGGAGAGCGGATATAGTGAATGCGGGGTCCGGGGGAGGGAATACAGTGAATGCGGGGTCCGGGGAGAGTGGATATAGTGAATGCGGGGTCCGGGGGAGGGAATACAGTGAATGCGGGGTCCGGGGAGAGCGAATATAGTGAATGCGGGGTCCGGGGAGAGTGGATATAGTGAATGCGGGGTCCGGGGAGAGCGGATATAGTGAATGCGGGTCCGGGGAGAGCGGACATAGTGAATGCGGGGTCCGGGGAGAGAGCGGATATAGTGAATGCGGGGTCCGGGGGAGAGCGGATATAGGGAATGCGGGGTCCGGGGAGAGCGGATATAGTGAATGCGGGGTCCGGGGAGAGCGGATATAGTGAATGCGGGGTCCGGGGAGAGCGGATATAGGGAATGCGGGGTCCGGGGAGAGCGGATATAGTGAATGCGGGGTCCGGGGAGAGAGCGGATATAGTGAATGCGGGGCCCGGGGGAGAGCGGATATAGTGAATGCGGGGTCCGGGGAGAGCGGATATAGTGAATGTAAGGTCCGGGGAGAGCGGATATAGTGAATGCGGGGTCCGGGGAGAGTGGATATAGTGAATGCGGGGTCCGGGGAGAGCGGATATATGGAATGCGGGGTCCGGGGAGAGCGGATATAGTGAATGCGGGGTCCGGGGAGAGCGGATATAGGGAATGCGGGGGTCCGGGGAGAGGGGATATAGTGAATGCGGGGTCCGGGGAGAGCGGATATAGTAAACGCGGGGTCCGGGGAGAGAGCGGATATAGTGAATGCGGGGTCCGGGGGAGCGGATACAGTGAATGCGGGGTCCGGGGAGAGCGGATGTAGTGAATGCGAGGTCCGGGGAGAGCGGATATAGTGAATGCGGGGTCCGGGGAGAGCGGATACAGTGAATGCGGGGTC